CAGGAATGATTGAAGAGGCATCCACTTTTGCAAGCGAAGCTTAAACGGCAAGACAAGCCTGTGTTTCTCTGCACTGTCCAGACGCCGACCCCTTAGAACTGACTGGCGCTGCTGGGGTCACACTGTAACAACCGGACGATGGATGGGTCGCTCTTGGCACCTTTAATGAATTCTTCCAGGGACAATTTGCCTGTGGGATGGAGGACGGGAGAAATGGGGAGTTAGCCGGTACTCACAGCTCATCACCCTTAGGAGAACACAGGGACAGCTCCTGTGTCAGGGACGTCTCCTCTGGTCCAAGTCTTGAGCCCTCCTGAAGCTAGATGCGTCCAGGCTCCACACACGTCCAGGGCATTTCTGGAAAAACCTTTTTTGCTTTCAGTGCTCATTGCAAAGCACCGGGCACCTCAAAGGACATACCCAGTATGGCAGCAGACCATGCCTGGTGGGGCAATTCAAGCCCTTTTAGAAATAGTCCCACACCTTATTTAAGAAAGATGTGCCTTGTCCAGAAAGAACATGACATCTGCCTCTAAACCATAACTAACCCAGGGTCGAGAGGGCCAGGCCTGGGTGGGGACCTACTTCTTGCCTCTGCGTTTGAGGCTCTGCAGCTGTAAAATGAAATAGAGCCATTTACCCCAGAGGACAGCAGTAAAGGGAATGCAGGAGCTTGAGGCCGTGCCCCGCACACAAAGTGCTCACAGCTCTGCCGCCATGGACAAGCTACCAACCTCTCCACGTCCCAGGGTCTTCATCTGTGTGGTGGGATCGTGGGAATGCCCATCTCAAAGGGCCACCGGGAGGGTTAATTGGGAGGATGTGTTTTAGGGGTCAGCCCACGCCTGGCCTGCAGGATGCACTCAGTTAGTGAGCTGCTGCCAGGAAGCCAGGCAGGGACCTGCTCCTTGCCCACTGCTGAGAGGGACACCTCCTCCTGTGGGTCCCCAGCAGCAGGGGCAGACAGGCTGGCCCCAAGGGAGACTAAACAACCCCAGGCTAAGGGATGGGTTGGGAAGGGAGGGGGCAGCCGCCCCCTCGGCAGAAGACAAGACCTCTGGGCTTCTCTGATGATGGACAGGGGTTACTGGGCTTTGTTACTAGTCATATGGTCGGTGGGGACTTTGCTCCGACCACCCAGGGCGAGGAGCTTCTGAAAGCACCAGCCTCTTCTCCGGGCAGAAAGCGAGGCTGGCAAGGGGCTGGGGGTCCCTGAGCACAGTCTGTCCTGCAGCCATCAGGGTGTTCCTGGTGCTTGGCCAGGCTCAGGTCACAGGAGAGGGCTTCAGTGATACCTGTGCTTTCCTAGGGGGGCAGGGAAGGTGTGGGGCAGGCCCCGGAGGACGAGGGCCTAGCTCTGGACCACCCCTGCTTCACTGTTCTCTCTTCCAACATCGCCTCTTCCACCCCTCTCCGAGCTCCAGGGATGCACGGATCCCAGGGTTCACAGGAGAAACTCTGTCCTGGTGGGCACAGGCCCAAATTCACAAACACCCTGGGAAGGTGCCCAGAGCGGGCCCTGAGGGGTCAGGGCAGAGGTGGGTGGAGGGAGAGCCAGGTGCTGTGCTAAGAGCTCTACTGGCTCTATCTCACTGAATCCTCAAAACCACAAGAGACTGAATTATTATCCCCATTTCACAGAGGAGTAAACCGAGGCTCAGAAAAGCCAAGATTGGTTGGAGCAGGTCTGTTGGACCCAAAGCCTGTGCTGCTACTCTGGAAGGCAGAAGACATGTTTTAAATTGGCCCAAAGGCAACGCCAGGCACGAGGCTGTCTTGTTTTACATTTGATGGATCATGTTTTGAAAACTGTTTCCTTGAGGAGATGTGCCTGCAGCCATGTTGCCCCCCTCCCCCTGCTGGCTCAGTCCTTGGCGTCATCTGCAAACCGCACTTTAGGGTTTAGGAGCACTTTTCTGTGCATTAGCTTATTTTTAATCTCCAGCACAGCCTAGGGGTATTTTCTCTTTTTCTTTTCTAAATGCTGCATTTCTTTATCCTTCAAAAGCAAATCAGACCTGACTCTGGGACTGCAATTAACACTGGCAAGAGGTGCAGATCCATCCAGTTTCATAGCTACCTTCCGGCAGAGAAGAAAACACAGGGCACGTCCTCACTGTACGGTCGCCACCGCCCCTCCTAGACACGCCACTTCTGCTGCGGTGTGGGCCCAGAGATCCTGGCAGAGCTGCTGCAGGCCAGCACATCCCAACAGAGTCCCTGGGGCCACTGAGGCTTGGAGGAGGGATGATGGGGGGCAAAGGGACCCCCACCACCTGGGAGGATTGATCCCAACCCCTCCAGGGCCCGGGTGCCAAGGGCACAGCTGCCTCTTCTCCTGGGACACGCCCACGGGCCTAGTCTCCCCGTTCTAGAAGCAAGGAGACTGTGGCTCATGGGGCAGGATGCTGACCCAGTGCCCCGACTCCGAACTCTGGCTCTCCCCTCAGCACAGCTGCACTGGCCGGGCAGGGCCAGGGGTGGGCCAGGTGAGGCCTGAGAAGCTACAGAGAAGGAGGAAAGGGTCCCAAACACATCTCTGCTCCCAGCAGTGGGGCACAGACACACAGGGATCCTACCGTCATTGTTGGTGTCCATCTGCCTGAAGATCTTGTCCGTCCGTTTCTCTGGCGTGGACTCATCCTCGGGCATCTTCATCACGGAGGACACCATTTTGTAAATAGCCTGCCAAGGGGGACACAGACACATGTGCTCAGAGGTTCCAGGGTGTCCCTGGGTGGATGGGGCACAGGCATGAGCTTCTGCCCAGCCCACAGCAGGACAAGAGGTCAGGATGCTCACAGCTTCAGGACCCTTCCCCAGATGGAATGTTCCCTGCTGCTCCCAATACTGTGGATGCATGTCACAGACAGCATGTGAGCAAAAGGAAGCCAGACTCACTTATGTGAAGTTCAAGAACAGGCAAAACAACCCACTTTGACAGCTACAAGCCTGGCGGTGTCTGCGGGGGCGGGAGGTGGGACAGTTCCCAGGCCCTCTGGGGGGCTGGGAATGCTCTCTAACTCACAGAGGGTGGTGGTGACACAGGCGCATACGTGCACAGCCCATCACTCAGCACACGTAGCCACAAACATTTGACTATGGGATTGCTGTACCTGAGTTAGAAGCAAAAAAGACAGCCCACAGGGAAAGCCACATAACTAGCCCCAGAAAGGCCAGCGCCAGGGCAGATGGGTCTCTCCAGCAGGACCGAGAACCCCAGGACACTGCCATCCAAGGGCTCAGCACCATTGCCAGCCGTTTCTGTGTGTCTCTGTCCAAGTGGCCTGGCCCAGTGTTGTGTTATGTGTGTGTGTGTGGGTATGTGTGTGTGTGTGTGTGTGTGTCCAGGGGACGTGATGAGCCCAGTGACCAGCAGCTCATCAGAGTAACTCGCGAGGGGGAGGGGCTGTGCCACTGTGGGTTTCTGTGCGGAGATGGCTTGACTGAGAGCCTCATTTCTGAAACAACACACCAAGGACAGCAGAAGTCTTGCAGTTGTAGCACGTGCAGTTGTAGCATGTTAAAAAGCAGGTTTATGGGCTTCCCTGGTGGCACAGTGGTTGAGAGTCCGCCTGCCGATGCAGAAGACACGAGTTTGTGCCCCGGTCGGGGAAGATCCCACATGCCGCGGAGCGGCGGGGCCCGTGAGCCATGGCCGCTGAGCCTGCGCGTCCGGAGCCTGTGCTCCGCAGCGGGAGAGGCCACAAGAGTGAGAGGCCCGCATACCGCGAAAAAAAAAAAAGGTTTACAAAACCAAAACAAAAAGGAATGATCCCAAGTGAGGCTTCTGGTATCTGTTATACTGTCTCCTCCTTGGCCCCTCTCCATTTGCCGAGGAGGGTGGAGGTGGCCAGGCCTCACAGCACGGCCAGTGTGTCTTTCAGGGCCTCTTGAGACAGGACCCCCTCCTGAGAGGGGCAGGCACTTGTTCAAATGCAGAGGAGGCAAAGCCAAGACCCTCCCCGGCCTCTGAAGCACGCAGAACCCAGTCCGTTTTGACAAAGGAATAGCGGCCGGGCATGCCGCTCAGCAGGCCAAGCCACCTGCGGGAGCCACGGGAAGGGTCTCAGAGTTTGGGAACTTGGTCTGGGGGCCTAACAGCCATATCCCGTTTGGACAGGCATGGGGCCCCTCGCTGTCCTGCTGTGTCTCTAAGTCTTGGCCGGGCCGGTCTGCTTGGCCAGGGCCAGGGAAGCGTATGGGCCAGCTTGTGGGCCGGGACAGGTGATTCCTGAGAAGGAGATTTCTTCCTTCTACCACCGCTTGTCACTAAGAGCCAGGAGCGACAGCTGAAGCAGAGTCCCCTGAACCTGTGCTGATTTATTCTCACTGTGCGAAAACCACCTGTTTAGGAAATAGGCTGGTCACTCCTCAGGCCACTTGCTGCTGGTCTAGGAGTTCATGAGTTTGATACCCTCTGTTTGTGGCTTAGCCCAGAAGTTCCTTCCACGTAGAGGACATCTCCTCTGAGGAATTCTAGAACTGAACCTCCCAGGCTCCAGGAGTGGGAGTGCAGGGAGGCACCCAGGCAGCGGCAGCTCTGTGCCTCTCTACCACACACCTAGGAAGCTGGGGAGGTGAACAAAACACGGTTTCTTTCTGGAAAACAGCTTCCCCTGCCAGAGCTGTTGAATGGAGTCGAGGCGAGGAGGTCTCTGAAGTGCTTTCTGTACCAGAGCTTATTCTGTGGCCACTAATGTTTCCCTTTTGCTTTACAACTGCACGTTCCTGGGGACATGACAAACTGTTTGTTCTTTTATTCTCAGACACGGGGACTCGAACAGGTCTTGGCAGGTGGCTTCTGCAAGTGTCAAGGGTCCTCTCAATTACTGTAATTCTCTCTGAATTGCTATAGTTCAGCTCTGTTAACTCTCTGGAAATCACGGTCCCCCACCCAGCCTCAGATTTTGTGAAATGCAGAGAATGACACCTCCATCCCCGGCTCCGCCCACCCCGCCCCCGCCCCGCCAGGGTCGGGAAGGCCACAACTCATCAAAGGGCTTAGGCCAGGCCTGATGGATGGCCAGTGCTCAGTAAACTGTGGCTCTTCTCATCACTATCTGCAAAGACCCGCCAGTCCGGTAACAACTGGTCATTTTCAAAAGTGCACGAGGGAGGGGCTGGCAGCCACCTAGCTGCGAAGGGCTGAAGGCGCGGGGAGGACAGGAAGGCTGTCCGGAGTGGGCGGGGCCTCTGGGGACCCCGCCCCCGCCCCCCCCCCCACCCCGCGGGCGACCCCGCCCCCGCCCCACCCCCCACCCCGCGGGCGCGCTCCGCCAGCCCCTCCCTCTCCGGGGCGCACCTGCACGATCTCCAGCATCTCGCTGCGGCTGATGTAGCCGTTGCCGTCCAGGTCGTACATGCTGAAGGCCCACTTGAGCTTCTGCTCCAGCTTGCCCCGCGAGGTCACGCTCAGCGCGATGATGAACTCCCGGAAGTCGATGGTGCCGTCGCCGTTGGTGTCGAAGGTGCGGAAGACGTGCTCTGCGAACTTGGAAGCGTCGCCGTAGGGGAAGAAATTGGCGTAGATCTTCTTGAACTCGTCCACGGTCAGGTGGCCGGTGGGGCAGTCCTTGAGGAAGCCCTTGTACCACTCCTGCAGCTCGTGGTCCGTGAACTCCGTGTTCTCCCGCAGGTCCTGCAGCACCTCGGGCCGCAGCTTGCTGTTCTGCTTGCCCATGGCGGCCGGCGGCGACACCTGCAAGACAGGGGCCCGGGCTGGGGCCATCAGGGCGGGGGAGGGCGCCCCACAGCCTACAGCCACCGAGCGGCGCGGAGAAACGTCCCCCGCGTGTCCCGCACCAAGGGCTGGAGAGGCCCGCCTCCGGCCCTCCCTGCGATGCAGTGCCCCAGCCCTCCTAGGACCCCTGCGGGGTGGCGGGCCCTCGGTCTATGTACCACCAGGAAAGGCAGGAGGCGCCGGTGGAGTCAGCACAGCCCACCTCGCGCTGCAAGGCACATCCTGACTTCCAGAATGTGGAAAGGTGGAAAAAACAGCAACTTGAAATCAAGTGCCCAGCAGGGGCCGTACAAGATTGGAGGATGAAACCCTTACTCTCACCACCCTCATCAGCTTCAGGCAAAAATGTCACGCTGACTGCACCCCACACCCTGTGTCCTGAGCAGTTCTTTTCTTGTTCGGGCACCATGTTCTGATTTTATCCTTAGAACAGGCATCCAGAAGCTTTTAAGGAGTCCCTCTTGTTTGTTTTTGCCTCTGAGAAGCCCTCTGGTTGGCAGGGGTGGATCTAGAACTAGCACCAAGAGTACATGAACGCCTCTAAGTTACGTAGTAAAGTCTCAGGCACCTGCGGGCGTGCAGAAGCGTGCTCCCCAACGAGGTTTTCCATAAGACCCATCCGTAAGACTGACCCTGGGGTGATACTCTTACTAGACATTAATACAGCTTTCACCTCGTCACATTTTACTTTGATTTTTCACAGTAACACTAGTACATGGCTTACTCATTTTTTGTGTGTGTGTGCTTTTTTTTTTTTTTTGCGTGATACTCTTACATTAATACAGCTTTCACCTCGTCACATTTTACTTTGATTTTTCACAGTAACACTAGTACATGGCTTACTCATTTTTTGTTTTGTTGTGCTTTTTTTTTTTTTTTGCGGTACGCAGGCCTCTCACCGTTGTGGCCTCTCCCGTTGCGGAGCACAGGCTCCGGACGCGCTGGCTCAGCGGCCATGGCTCACGGGCCCAGCCGCTCGGCGGCA